CAAAACAGAAATTGTGATATTTAGAGGGCGGTCCACGTGTACAGAAACTAACGCTGGTTTTTTGATGGTCAGTTGATGAATGTATCCAATCAATATTCTTACTTAGGGTTTTGTTTTCAAACAGAATGAACTTGAATAAATGTGCACATAACTTAACTTTACGTGGAAAAGAGGCTTTAATACAAGTTTTATCGGTTTTATACAAAGTTGGAACTATGTCACCCAATGTGTTTTTTAAGATATTTAATTCTCACATTCAACCCATTTTATTATATGGATCTGAAATATGGGGTTTTCAGCGCTTTGATTGTATTGAGAGAGTGCATCTTTTAGCCTGTAAAAGTACCTCAATGTAAGCTCAAAGACACCCTAACTGCATGGTATATGGCTTAATGTGGCAGATTTCCTTTGTATATCAATTCTCTACATAAGATGTTTAAAATATTGGTTTAAGGTTCTAAATATGCACCTAACAACGCTGCCAAAAAATTAGCTTACAATATGCTTTTAAATCTGGATAATTTGGGAAAACACACTTGGGTAACTGATATCAGAAATTTATTATTTTCTCAATGGTTTCGGGTTTCAGATGGTTGAGCCAAACAATTGGCGATGTGAACTGGTTTATTAATGAATTTCGTGTTAGATCAATAGATATGTTCAATCAAGAATGGAAATCCACCCTAGATTCAAGCTCACCATATGAATATTACAGGACCTTTAAAACGCTACTCCAGCCAGAAAATACTTATCAATAATTACAACATATAGTTTAAGAACAATGTTCGAAAGTATCGCTTAGGTTTGTTATCTTTAATGATTAATGAGGGTAGAAAAACCTCTGTCCAGAAAGAACGCCGATATTGTCCCTTATGTAACGTTGGAATAGAAAATGAAATTCATTTTACCCTGATATGTCCTTGTTATCACGCAATTAAGACAGAAATATATACCGCACCATCTTCTTGCAAAGCAGCCCCATTATGCATATATATCTTTGTTACAAACCAATAATGAAAATATTCTTGCTCAATTGTCCTTATATATAAAATATGCATTAGCTAAAAGAGATCTTCTTATAAAGCGAATTGTATACCCTTAAATATATATGTAAATATCCAGAATATTCCTTTATCACTGTAACTCTCATGTATATGGGCCGGAGGCCTTTCATACAATAAACATCTTTTGACTTTTGACTTTTTAAGTCATGATTGAATTTATCTTAAAGACACCAAGAAATTTATGTTCCTAACATACTAGTCATCCTTTAGAGATGTGAAATTTTGCAAAAAACAAACAAAATAACTACATGGGTTTGTTTTCTTATTTTTTTGTGCATTAACAAATTTCATAAATGATGCTAACCAATTATTTTCGATGATTTATCGGTGGTAATGAACCAATCATCAATTATGAGATTTTAACCAATTCCCAACACTAGATACAACTATAACAATGTATTCACTATGTTTAATTAAGGACCATTTTCAACATGATCAAAGGCTCGTTTGAAGAAATATTTGCAGTAATATGGCCTGAAAGATCCTTGGGTAGCGTGTCACTGTTATCACCTATCACAAAACAAAATGCTAAATCTGATTGGATGATATCACTGGATGACAGTGCCTGTGCCGGAACTAACAAGTCATATATCTAGTAAATATATGTGAACATTAATGACTAGTCTGTCTCACAGTCCCAGAACCATATTATTTTCCCCAATGCTAAGCCTTCCCTGCAATGCTAAAGCCCTAAATAAAGCAAGTCTAGATTTCCTCAGGTTCCTGAATCTCTGGTCTCACTGGTGCTCCTTTTCAATCTAACTATTAAATTTATATGTATTCAGGGACTAAACGTTAGTCTAAATAATGACATGAAAGAAGCTGTTTTTGAGGATTCCACCATATTTGTTGCTGCATGAGGTAAGGGAGACAACTCAAGCTCCCTCAAGAGACTGTACATTGTGAAGCACCAGTAAAATAAATCTTCCTCATGTTCTTTCTTTGTTTCTACTCATGAAGTCCACTTACCACTGACTACACTACTAGGTCTAACGGACCAATCAGAAAGTAGGTTACAATAACATGGCATCCATCAGATTGATTATAATCAAGGTTGCGAGGAATTCAATATTGAAAAACTGACTGACACTCGGAACTCTGTTAGGTAGGAGGTGAGTGAGTGAGTGAGTTTAGTTTTACGCCGCACTCAGCAATATCCCAGCTATATGGCGGCGGTCTGTAAATAATAGAGTCTGGACCAGACAATCCAGTGATCAACAGCATGAGCATCGATCTGCGCAATTGGGAACCGATGACGTGTCAACCAAGTCAGAGAAACTGTCCACCCAATCCTGTTAGTCGCCTCTTACGACAAGCATAGTCGGCTTTTATGGCAAGCACATCGGTTGCTGAAGACCTATTCTACCCCGGATCTTCACGGGTCTTGCATGTCAGTGTAAACTGGTGGTGGCTCATTCGTAACTACTCTCGTCCCTTCCATTGACCTGAAAGTAGACTTCATTACCCTCTCTAGCCATGTCCCGGGAGAAATATTCCCCCAGCCAATCAGAATACGCGTATGTAGAGAAGAAATTGGGTCAAAATAGGTCTTTGAAATATTTTTCATTTTGGATTGCATAATTATTTCCCAGACACTTCAAGTATATTCTAATTATTACATAGTCCTCTTGGGTTTCCTGTATTTTTATAACCAAGGTATATTTTACATTATGGCGTAGGAAAGTATTTAAGCATGTTAAACATACCCTTTGAGATAAGTTCCTTGGCATGGATGCCATGTGTTTTTTCCAAGTAAACTAGAGTTACATGCCCTCGAAAATAGTTCGGCAACTAAAGTACTGTTGGAAATGCTAGAAAAATGCTTTTTAGCCTTAATACTTTGATAAAGGTGATAAATGTACTATGTTGTCAATATATCAACTCGCCTATAGTGTACCTAATTTTTATTTCAATGGATTTAACATTCCCATGCATTTGAAGGGCAGTTTACAGGAGAGAATATGGTTGCAAAACAACAACTTAGGATTTTTTCAGAGTCCAACAACAGAAATCTGAAATAGTCTTTACATTTATGCTAATAATACAGGTGGTGTAAAAATATGAATCAACGTTTTTCTTTAACACATAAATGTTAAATGTTTGTGTTACTTTACTTAATTATCGTTTCTTTATTGAAGAAATATTAATATAAATGTTAAGTCTTGATAAATAAGTTTCCCATCATGCATACACATCTTTATCACAGCGTCCACTAAGGCCAACTATTTGCAGTCAAATGTTGCAAAGGTTTATAAGTTTTTTGTGCTTGAAAAAGACAGAGGTAAACCTTTCATTAGTTTAGAAAGGGTTTATTACAGAACTTGTAGAGCTGTTGGTATGTCTTACCAACAAGTTTCAAATATTGTAAACAAATCAGACACGACAGGGACCATCTCAAAAGCAAAACCGGGACGTAAAACCATCCTTGACAACTTTGACAAGGGAGTACTTAGGACGGACGGCGGTCACAAACTTTATGAGAAGAAGAATATATATATTCTAAAGAAGACACACCAGTGACTTCTTTAAATCTTTATTAATGTTCACAACTAGATTAAACTGACCGAATTACATCAATATTTTGCAATGAAATATACTGTTGACATGCAAAACATTTATTAAAACGTTGCACATTTCTACAATCAATCGATAAGATAACACAAGTGATAGGATTCTTTCCAATGTACAGTAATTCGTATGTTTATTTCAAAACAAACACACATACACAAATGATCCCTTACATAACCAATGCTTATACTAATACTATACGTACACATATTCAACATTTTGAAGAAAACATCTATTGAGATGACCCCTCGCCCGAGCGTGTGCTCAGGTGTCAATTTCACCTGTCGATACCATGCATGCTGATGACGTAACACAGGCAGTTAATGTTTGTATCAAATAACGTCCCACTACCCGTAAGTTTTTTGTATTTTCATCAGTAAAAACACATTTTAGGGCATGTCTCAAAAATATTCCCACGGTCTACATTAGGTAGATGTTTCTTGAAGTGATATTTGTTATTTAAGTAACTGTAATACCTCTGAATTTTAAATATAAGTCAAAAAGCATTTTCTAGCATTTCCGACAGTACTTTAGACTATTTCTTTCTCTCTGCGCATTTGTGCTCAGACAGAGCCACGTTCAATAAAATAGCTATGAGAGGGGTACGAGTCTACTTTTAAGTTACGGAAAGGGACGAGTAGTTTAGAATGGTGGCGGCTTTGTTTTCTGGGTAATACAAGTTATCTCCCTTACCCTTTCCCTATCCTTCAAATTGACATTTGACAGGTCAGTAAAATGTTAATGGTTGGTTGGTTGGTTGGTTGGTTGGTTGTGTTTATCGTTGCACTCAGCAGTATTCCAGCTAAATGGTGGTAAATAATCGAGTGTGGACCAGACAATCCAGTGATCAACAGCATGAGCATCAATCTATGCAATTGTGTGAGGGAATTCAATCCACACTGCACTGAGCAATATTCCAGTTATATGGCAGTGGTCTGTGAATAATTCAGTCTGGACCAAACAATCCAGTGATCAACAGCATCAGCATCAATCTACGTAATTGGGATACAATGACATGTGGCAACCAAGTCAGCGAGCCTGACAACCCGATCTTGTTAGTCACCTCTTACAACAAGCATGGGTTACTGAAGATCAATTCCAACCCTCAGCTTCACGGATCCTACGCAATACAATGAAACGTTAATTAAGATAAAGGGTAGGTAACTTGTGATCACAAGAACAATGGGAAGGGATCTAGAAGTTAGTGCCCTGGAGATACAGAGGAGGATGTTTGACAGGCTGGTCACTGATTCGCATCTGGAATCCACAGAAGGGATTTGTTCAAGAATTTGGTCCAGAGGTTATATTCTCCTGACCCCTTTCTGCAGGAAGATAATCAATGGACCATCAGGAAGTAATTGTGCTTACCTCAAACTCTTTAGGATCAAACATATTTTTCAGGATGACAGTCTTTTCACACTTCAACCTCCCCTCTTCTTGCTGAGGTGTCCAGTCAAACAACCTATGCAACAAAATGGAGTATCAGTCTCTGAAATTGACATATTTTACACTAAAAACACTTGCTAAATGGGTCATTTTCAAAATCGGTAGGATTTTCTGTCTGTTCCAAATAAAAACAAGAGTCATCAGAAGATGACATATCCCCCCGGCCCCCACATAACTGAAAGAACAAATCATCTCACAGTTACTTAAAGTCCAGCTTGACATTAAACTAAGTCCAAATCGTTTCCATGGAAATCATGAGGAACATAAATGCCCAAAATCTGTAAATTGCAAAAGGCACCATTTCAAAATTTGCCTAATATATTTGCCAAGTTCTGTTGAAAGATACTGAACGCTTTTCAAGTTGTGCACCGGAAATGAAGCCCACCCCTCCCTTTTGGGACTAAGTCCTAACCGTTTCCACGGAAACCGGGAGAAATAAATATGCCAAAAATCTGCCAAATAGCAAAAGGCACCACTTTGGCATCTGCCTCACATATCTGCCAAGTTTTGCTGAAAAATATTAAGAAGTTTTCCAGTTGTGCTCCGGAAACGACACCCTCCCTTCCTTTTTGGGACTAAGTCCGAATTGTTTCCATGGAAGCTGAGAAAATAATAAATCACAATAATCTGCCAATAGCAAAAGGCACCACTTTGGGATCTGTCTCATATATCTGCCAAGTTTTGTTGAAAGATATTAAGGAGTTTTTTAGTTGTGCTCCGGAAACGAAGCCCACCCCTCCCTTTTGGGACTAAGTCCGAATCGTTTCCATGAAAATCGGGAAAAGTACATATGCCAAAATTCTGCCAAATAGCAAAAGGCACAACTTTGGCATCTGCCTCACATATCTGCCAAGTTTTGCTGAAAGATATTGTGAAGTTTTCGAGTTGTGCTCCGGAAAACGGAACCCACCCCTCCCTTTTGAGACTAAGTCTGAATCGTTTCCATTGAAACCGAGAAAATAATAAATCACAAAAATCTGCAAATAGCAAAAGGCACCACTTTGGGATCTGCCTCACATATCTGACAAGTTTTGCTGAAAGATATTAAGAAGTTTTCGAGTTGTGCTCTGGAAACGAAACCCACCCCTCCCTTTTAGGACTAAGTCCGACTCGTTTCCATGAAAAAACCGGGAACAATAAAAATGCCAAAAATCTGCAAATAGCAAAAGGCACCACTTAAGGTTCTGTTTGATATATCTACCAAGTTTTGTTTAAAAATATTTAACGGTTCTTGAGTTATACTCCGGAAACAAAGCCCACCCCTCCTTTAAGACTAAGTCCAAAACGTTTCCATGGAAACCGAGAAAAATAAAATGACAAAAGTCTGTAAATAGCAAAAGGCACCATCTTAGGTTCTGTTTGATATGTCTACCAATTTTTGTTGAAAAATATTGAACGGTTTTTGAGTTATGCTCTGGAAACAAAATGATTACATACGGACGGACGGACGGACGGACGGACAGACGGACGAGGCGATGACTATATCCACCCGCATTACATGCCGGGGGGGGGGATAAAACCTCTGTTAACTTAATAGGATGTTTTTTTCGTGCTAGAAAACATATTTAGATGCTTACTAGTCAGTAAACGTGGTATATCATTAGTCTTGTCATTTTGAAATATATATTTAGCCACATTTTAGGGTCAAAATTTGCAGATTTGCACTGTCCGGAGGTGACGGTCCTAATATCAATGTTCACAAATAATGTAAATATAAATGCAAATAAACAAACTAATTCATATTATACCAATTAGGATTGAACAGGCATACTCAAACTGCATTTAATTTTTTTTTAACTTAAAAAGGGTTTTTTTCTACACATTGTAACTTAAAACAGTTTTTCCTGCAATAACATTCCCTACACATTGTAACATGCTTGTCCACATTTTGCAGAAAATTGATTTTGTTATGTCCTGTCACCGTTACCAGTGTATGAAATATCTTTTTGTTTTTAAATTTCTGCAGATAAGAGGTGGAAGGCATCTCCCTGAGCTGGATCATGTAATAGATTTACTACTTGTCTGTGTTACTGTCAAACCAAGCCGACATTCTGCAAAGTGATGGTTTGGACAGTCCTTTCAGGACAAAGATTATTTTCAAAAAGTTGTTCATTAATATTTGAAATATAACAAATTTATAATTACTTTAAGAGATAAGTTTAGGATTTTTGATGTAGCAGCATTCTCTAGTAGCGCTTTTGGACAAATAATAGTAAGGTTGAGGTGAAATTGGGTTTCGTCGTGCTTGAGAATATTTCGCATATGACGACGCGGTGCAAGGTAGTTTTGATGCTTGTACTAGCCCAGACATGGTTTTATAGTGCTAGCTCACTGAGATACATGCAGTGAAGCATGAATACCCCACTCAGACACATTATACTGATTCCTTGTTGACCAATGCCGGCCAGGCATACCAACAAGTATTAACGTCTTTTGGTATGACCAGCGCCAGGGGATCGAACCAGACCTTCTGCTCTCCTGGCAGACACTAACCACTACACCACGGTTTAATAGTAACGGTCTGGACATATCTTTAATAAATTTAAATTTTGAAGAATATGTTCTATGGTGTGATAATAATTTTCTATTTGCTTATCTATCTGCTTTAAATAATAAAAACCAAAACGAATTTATCACATTAAGTTTCTATTTTCTATAAGATCTATAGTCTTTATGAATTAAAGGTAACGGTTAGGACATCTATGGTAACAGTTTGGATAAAATGTAGTAACGGTAAACAACTTAACTGTATTCCAACCTTTAAAGATTTTTTGGATGTAAACTGTTGTAACTTTAACTGTGAGATATGTAAGGCTACCATTTACTTTGAATATTTGCTAGGTGCTAATATGTTGGCCAAACCTTTGTATTTGATAAATATGTGTTACCATCTCACGATTAACAAAAACTAAAGGTATCCGAGTGATTGAAAGAACTATATTTCGTGGAGACTAATATTGCACCATAATATCAACAGCAAAATGATATCTATGCAGTAGCCTGTGTAGCATGACCATGTGTACAGTATCATAGTTGTTGCAGTACCTTTCAGAATTTAATCTTTTGCAACATTTTAGAAGGATAACATTTGTATGTAACACTGATGTCCTGACCGTTAGCAATAATGTCACAACCGTTAGTATTCATTCAATTTTCGTTCCCCAATTGCACTCTTCTTTAGATTATAAGTGATTTTCAATCTAGACAGGTGTGTTTTTCTATTTTTTAGAAGCTACAGTTTGTTTTTATTTAATAGCCTAAATTCATTTAGAAGTTTCATATTGATATAACAAATGTCCAAACCGTTACCACAGCATGGAAGAAAACATGTCGCATTTGTTACAAGTTACAATTTCTAATACACATTTCACTGTCTGTCCAAACTAGGGTAAGCAATTGAAGTAAATGATATAATTTTTTCCTTTCATGTTACCTGTTTCTATGTTGAATTAAATTGTTTAAGGTTTATGTCCAGCCCGTTACCATTCCTGTCCAAACCGTTACCACTATTGTCCTAACCGTAACTGGTGTTTATTGACTGCTGTAATTAATTCATGATAATACATGAAACACTCCTCTTTATGCTGGTGTCATCAAAAGATGTTCTGGCCTTTAGTAGCTGATGTTTATTTTAGACAATTTTACCTGTTGAAAGCTATATGCATAATAATGTTTTAGAAAAATGCAATTATTTGTGGTAAATAAATAAAAGATACAAAATAACGCTTTCAAGATTCATGATAATAGTTTTTACCTTCAAGTTTGATTAAGTCGGTGTAAAAGCTGTGTCTGCCATCTTTAAAAGATTTTTATGAATTATATTTCAAAATCCTTATTCTGATTAAGAAGTGGTAATGGTCAGGACTTTTCATCACCCTATTAATTACTTATGTATCAATTAAAAGGCCAATTAGTAAATTTGAGCCTGCATGTTTGTATATTTGAATAATTAAGTGTTTGAGATTTCATTTGAATAAAAACTAAATCAATTTTCACGAGTTTGATTTTACTGTAACAAGAAGTTAAAGTCATCAATATCCCCCTCAATGGCAAAATACTCTTCATGGATATGTCTACGAGTTATGATTATGTCAAATGTTTTGGCATGTATATAGATAAGTATAAGGAGAGTACTGAAAGGTTTCAAAGTTCAGGTTTCAGAAAGGAGCACTACCACCAAATTCAGTTGAAGCCAAAAATGTTGCCACTAGACCTACCTATGTATGAAATTTCGTGCTGAAACAGTGAACAGTTTTTAAGTTCTGCTCCGGAAAAAAGCACAACCACCAATTTCAGTCTAAGTCAAACTTGTTGCCATGGATATGCAAAAAATATTTTATTCAGAAATCCAAAACTACCAAAAGGCACCAGTACACCACCAGATCTATCTATGTGCCAAGTTTGGTGAAGACATATCGAACGGTTTTAGAGTTCTGCTCCAGAAAAGAGCACTACCACCAATTTCAGTCTAAGTCGAACATGTTGCCATGGAAACGCCAAAAATATTTAATTCAGAATTCCAAAACTACCAAAAGGCACCAGTACACCACCAGATCCATGTATGTGCCAAGTTTGGTGAAGAAATATTGAACGGTTTTAGAGTTCTGCTCCGGAAAAGACAAATGTGCACGGACGGACGGACGGACGCACGGACGGAGTCCATTTTAATACCCCCCGCAAAATGCGTTGCGGGGGATAATAAAGAATTGAAATCATACCAATTTTGAAAATGATCCAAATATAATAGTGAGTGAGTGAGTATGGTCTTACGCCACTTTAGCAATACTCCAGCAATAATACGGCAGGGGACACCAGAAATGGGCTCCACACATTATACCCATATGGGGAATTGAACCCGGGTGTTCGGTGTGATGAGCCAAAACTTTAACCACTAGGCCACCCCACTGCCCCGCCTGACCAATGAACCACAACACATTTTCTTAGAAAACCTATGACTATCAGACCCTGGATTCAAGCCCACACTCTCAGTGAGGAGTCCAATTATCGGCACCAAAAGTCAGACATCCAAATAAGTTCAACACAAATGAAAGTCAGAAAATTAGAAGTCCAGATCATCCACTTATTGTATCCTTCTGATAAGAGGACTAAAATTTGTACTTTGAGGTGAGGTGAAATTGGGTTTAACGTCGTGCTTGAGAATATTTCGCTCATATGACGACGTGCATGCGTGTGTATGTGTATGTGCGGCTGCTTGTACTAGCCCAGACTTAAGCTGGTTTTATAGTGCTAGCTCACTGAGATACCATGCCGCAGTGAAGCATGAATACCCCACTCAGACACATTATACTGACTCCCGAGCCGACCAGTCCTTGTTGTACCCATTAATGCCGAGCGCCAGGCAGTGACCAACAAGTACCATATTTTAACGCTCTTTTGGTATGACGCGGTCGGGGATCGAACCCGCGACCTTCCGCTCTCTGGGCGGACGCTCTAACCACTACACCACAGAGGCGGTCTTGTACTTTGAGAAAATGTGATCCCAAATATATCATTTGAATGAAAGTCTGTATTACCAGTGACTGATTTGGTAACATCGAATTGGACAATTCAGAAAACTGATTTTAATAACTCATTCCTCACTTGATATAGTACCACCTGAACATTTAATAGAAATACAAAACACTATTCTGATACTCACTTTTCCTGCTTTTCTTTCATTTTTCGTTTGTCTTTATTGGTGAGCTTCCTCCTCTTCTTGGATGGGTCATATTGTCCCTTCATCTGAAACTGGGCCCTCTCCACTGATATCTTATGACCTCGGACGTCAGACCCGTCCAGGATGTTTAGGGCAAGCTGAACGGACTCTTGCTGGAAGAGGAGAGAACTTATTACTGTGATGTACCAATAGAGTCTGGTAGCTGATGTAGATACATTTTGGGTCTTCTAATTGCTCAGTGAGTGAGTGTGGGAGTGAGGAGACCATAACCATGTATAGTGACCTATGCAGTGTAACTCCTGCAATGCACAGGCAATTAAAAATAAATTATCTTAATTAGAGACCCGTGAAGATCCGGGGTAGAATAGGTCTTCAGCAACCCATGCTTGCCACAAAAGGCGACTATGCTTGTCGTAAGAGGTGACTATCGGGATCCGGTGGTCAGGCTCGCTGACTTGGTTGACACATGAGTAGTTATATAATGATGGTTCTGGACCACTTCCTCTTATAGGCTTATTTCTAAAATTCCGGCCTTCCCAGCTATAGTATAAAATAGAGATTTTCGAGCAGAGACATCGCTCGCGATGAACAGTTGAGCTCGGCCAGCCTAGAACCATTTTCGCTAGGGCTACCGATTATTTCCAGCAACTACTGACTAGACCTCCGTGATGTCGAGTGGAGTTTCCTTTATTGGGGTCGCGAAACTCCCCACGCCGACTTCTAATCAGTGGTTTATGCGTGTGTGTCCGTACGCGTAAGTCGTGACGCCGTCGATGGCGATCCACCGTTTGGTATCTATGGGCGACAAGGAGGTATTATTCAGGGTGATGCCATAGATGTTGTGTTTGTCGCTTCTCAACGCATTCATTCAGTGTTTGAACGTTTTATTCTTGAACAGAGCTTGTTTGAAGAGGGCGTGCTTGGTGTGTTGTTTCACCACGTATTTCTTGACCCCTTTCGTATTTGACGTATTCGGCGATGGGTGTGCCCGCGCATTTGTCCTTCATCTGGCCGAGGACCTTTTTATTGGTCGTGCTGTGTAGGGCATGTTACATAAGATCGCAAAGTGTATGACCTTTATATAGCTTGAATGCACAACCACTGAGTGAAACTGCCGGTCTGAAGGGAATGTGCCAGACTTCGGTCCTAGAGTTTTAGCGTTCAAATCCCAGACAGAACTTTTTTGTTGTTGCTATGTTATGTTGACATCTACAAAGCAGTTTAAGGTGAATCTTTTACGAGATCCTTGTTCTTGGTCAGGAAGGCTTGAATGTTTTACATGGACTAGAAAAAATATACACAGCAACAAAAAAAAACAGTTTGCAAATCGTAGCAGAATGTATATTAAGCGGGTACGCTGGAGGTATTCTATTCTGTATCCCTGGTGGAACGATTTGTTTCTAGCTCCGAGTGTGTCTGAGAAAGGAATGTGCATTTCATTTGGACTACATTTAGACATTTGTGTACCTTAAGTGTATATACAAGTATGTGGACCTTCGGAACTTACCATTGCAAGTGGGTACTGCTGGGCAAACCCGTGGAATGCGGAAACTGCTGTACGGCTGAATATTGCCACAAACATGCTTAAAGTGTGAGAAGGGGTCATGCCAATTACTCGTGTCAAGTATGTGGTGTAGGTGTCAAATGTCAGTATTCTTTGTGCAAAGCCCATGGGGCTGACATCGTCAGAATGAAACCGATCACTAAAAGGCGTTCAGATTTTATAAGTGAATTCAGGAGACTCAGGAAGATTAACATTTAAAAGATTTATAATGGCTTTCATTTCAGAGAAGGCATCATCATCATTGAACACCCTATTAGACATTTGACTTTCATATGGAATACAACCAATTAGAGAAACAGCTTTCATATGGCATACAACATGGCTACTGTCAGAGAACTGAAAGCGCTGGCTAAGAAGCGGTGGTGGGATTGGTTATACTCGCATGAAAGCCGAATTGCTGGCCTCGCCGACATGAAATATGACAAGCCCCCCACTGTACGAGAGCTCAAAGTTCAAGCTAAAGACCGTGGATTGACTGGTTATTCTCGCATGAGGAAAGCCCAACTGCTCGCCTTGTTGGAAGACACTGAGCCGGTGGAGTTGAGATTCTTGCCGACGGACCACTCGGTGGGTAAGTATCTCAGAGGTTGGAAAATGGTGGTCAATTCTAATATCGATACCGATAAAGTAAACCCTTAATCGACAGTAAACTTCGCGAAGAATTAAACGATTTGGAAAGCATCAAATATTAACTGACGATGAAAATGACGGCAGTACCGAAATCCAACGTGCGCCCTCTATTTCAGAGGCAAACAGGAAGTCCTAACTCAACCAGAATCCATTGAATCCTCCATCGACCTTGTTCCCAAAAAAATATACCCACATGGACTCTGGATGGGTGGTAGACAAAATCAACACATAACATGCCGCTCAAATGCCGATCATACATAGACTTGCCTCCTGCATGACTTTAAGAATAAAAGGCTATCGCTAACCCTAAAAATAAAGGCGATGATTGTTTACCGGTTAAAGCGGTAATAGCCACCGATATCCAGCTTAACACCCATCATCCCCGATAGACTTTCCAGCTATCCCTCGATCGAGGAATCCAGTCTCGACTTTTACGGGTATAGACATGCCTACCCCCCATCTCCCAAATTGCTCGAGTGGAAAACAAACGCCTTTGACCCATGGCAAGGCAATAGGGTTATTGTGCACAGGATAAGCTCTGTGAGTAATAAAACCATGCGCCAGAATCAATTTTTTCTCGCTGAAAAAGACGGCAAGTACCACTCACGCGAGCGCATTAAAAGTCTGAGCCGATTGTTGTACCAATTCAATCCAAACAGGCCAGAAAGAAACATTTCTGCCGAACGGTGTCTGCATGGGTATTCTAGCTGATTTATTAGAATCGCGACCGGAGGATTGCCGAGGCGTGGAGGGACGCGATCAGAATCGATATGCCTCGAGAAAATAAAAACATCTTAAAATTCATCAACCACCAATATCAATGCCCGTGGTTCACGCCATCTACTCTAATTTCAAGCTCTCATCAAACAGGTGAAAACCGTCGCACCATCCCCGGAAAAAAGTTACACATACAAAACACAAGAACACCAAGCCTGTGGGTTTGGGTACGTGGTCGTCCGATGCGATGGAAAAACGGAACCACAGGTGATTTACCGAGGTCCCGGCGCGGGCGAAACGCTTTCAATGCTCTTACAACGCATAAAGAGAGAAACATCAGGGAAGCTTTGTCGATCCTTTCTCCATGGATATGACCTTTCTCCATGGATATGACGCCGAGGATGAGTTTGCTCATCGACGAAGCTAGATATTATCACGCATATGTCGAGGATCCCTGAACGGTGATTCCGTGAGTGATCATTGTCACATCACCGGTCGATACCGGCGCCACTCACAACGCTGTGCAACTTAAAATGTGCAACGCGTGCCCAAAAAATCAACATCCCCGTGGTGTTCCATAATTTGAGAGGGTACGACGCTCACTTGATCATGCAGGCCATCTCGGAAGGTCGGCCGGTGATATCAAATGCATCCCCAACAACATGGAGAAATACATCTCCTTCTCTCTCAAAGGTCTGAGATTTATCGATAGGGCTCAGTTCCTCCTGTCGTCGCTCGACAGTTTGGTCAAGGCCAACGATACCTTCGCAATCACCCATGGATACACCCATGAGGCAACAAGGCCTCTGCTGCTCAAAAGGCTGCGCGAAAATTTATCGCAGAACATGGACAATTGGACCAAGTTCGACGAGACCCGATTACTTCCATCGAATCGATTTTACAGCAACTTAACCGAATCCCATATTCGATTTACAACCACACCCAGAACGTGTGGGAGAAACTGGGTTGCAAGAATCTGGGCGACTACCACGACCTGTACTTGAAAACGGATGTGCTCCTGCTGGCCGACGTGTTCAAGACCTTTAGAACAATGTGTTTGAAACAGTATGGACTTCGATCCTGCCTGGTACTACACCAGCCGGTCTCTTGTGGGATGTGCTCTTGAGTTAAACTGGAATTGCTCACAGATTACTTACACGCACCTGTTTGTCGAGAAAGGCATGAGCCGGGATTTCCATGTTCTCCAAACGGTACGCAAAGCCAACAATCCGTGACGTGAAAACACACTAACAAGCAAGCCCACCAACCACCCTCCTGTATCTCAACGCCAACAGTACGGCTGGGCTATGAGCCAGTATTTGCCTATGGGTGGATTCAAGTGGGTTAATAGCGAGCATTTTAATCCGAAGAACATTATGGCCATCCACGACAACTTCGAGATAGGCTACCTCTTTGAAGTGGACATGGACTATCCCGCGGCATTGCACGCTGCTCACAACAGTTATCCGCAGGCTCCCGAACGATTGATGGTTGATCGAGACTGGATGTCCGACTATCAGCGAGACTTGTTGAGCGAGAACACACTGGCTCAGGTGGAAAAACTCGCCCCGAACTTGATAAACAAAACCAAGTACGTCGTGCACTATCGCAACCTGCAGCTGTACCTGTCGCTGGGTATGAAGCTGACCAAAATACACCGAGTGCTCAAATTTGATCAAAAACCCTGGATGGAACCGTACAGTTGGTTGAACACCTAGCAAAAATGGGTCTAGGCTGGCGAGCTCGGCTGTACATTGACCGAAGTCTCTGCTCGAAAATCACTATTTTATACTAGGCGCTGGGAGCGTAATTATGTAGAAATAAGCCTGTAAGAGGAAGTGGTCCAGAACCATCATTATATAACTACTACATGCCTTCAGTTCCCAATTGCGCAGATCGATGCTCATGCTGTTGATCACTGGATTGTCTGGTCCAGACTCGATTATTTACAGACCGCCGCATATTGCTTGAATATTGCTGAGTGTGGCGTAAATCTAAACTCACTCACTCACTCACTTAAACAATTAGAAATGTTTAAATAGGACCAAGCAAGTGCCATAACTAAAATTGCCACTTGTCATTTCTCTTCCAAAGAGAAACAATTATTATTTAAATTAAATATTTGTTGTTAAGGCAATGAAGAATGATGCCTTTTGAATGAGGGTTTGATTTTTTCTCTTTTCGTTGAAAATGACATCATAACAATGTTTCAACTTACTGAGACTTATACTTTTAATCTTT